TCCAGAGCCGAGAGACAGAGCAGAAGAGCCGAGCGCAGAGCAGCTGCCCCCATCGATGGACCGGACCCGGCCCGCCCCCTGACGTCCGACCGGCCGCGAGGTGGTCGCCAAACCCCGGCCGTGCCCCTGCTCACCCTCCCCTCCGCGGCCTCTGCCCTCACCCGAGAAAGGCACCCCGACCTCGCGGCCAGAGATTATAACACGGTTATAACACTGTTATAATCTGGTAGCGTTTCCAAAGTGCCTTGGTTTGAGTGTTTTATACCAAGTTTTACAGGTTGTAATACTTGCAAGATCAGCATCTTTAAATCTGTTGATTAAATTTTCATAAGTCTACAAGATTTCTGTGACTCAAACGCATGATGATTACTTCTGACCCCTCTCAAAGATGTTTCAGCACTTCTCCAGGTTTGGCAAAGAAGCTTGTGTGTCTTCTCAGATGCTTTGTTTTCTTTTCAGGGTTTCCATGTTGTGAGAAGGAAGAATTTATGCCATCACTTCTTGAACTTTTCTGCAGTAGGTGTACTATGCAGATGTTATGGGAAGGTTACACTGTTCCTGGTGGTCTTCCTCCAGATGGTTCTTGCTTACAAAGAAGCAAGAAAAGTAAGGTTAGAATTAGGAAAGTGTGCATTTTAGTTGTGGATAATGTGTATTTTATCCCTCTTGAAAAATGTGGTCATGCTGCTTATGTTGGTTTTCTGTGGAACAGCCTCAATCTTGTCCCTGTGCTTTTTTCCCTGCCCTGATCATTTCCCCTCATAACTCCTGTGGCATCTGGTCCTGTGTTGTCTAATCACATGGATATTAATCCATTAATGATGAGCTGTCTTTGGATCCCTGGGTACAAGATTTATACCTGTTAAAGAACAATTTGAAATAAAGTTTGTGTGGCACGCACTGGCTACAAACTTTTTTCTGCCTACTGTCTTCCTCCTGGGTGTAAACGCTGCCTTCACTCTGTTGTGGTGAGCTTTCTTGCCCCTGCTAGGAAAGAAGTTCTCTGGAGGAGATAGTGCCTGTTTGGCCCCCAGTTCTTCATGTTTTCCCATCAACATCCTGCCAGATACACAGGTCTTGTTTATTTCTCTGACGTAGTTCAAACTGTATGTTACTTTTCAAAGGTCTTAGTGTCAAATAATTTGTCTTCATCTGGGGATGATTCACTGGAATCCTACAAGACCCACTGCTTGCTTTCATTCCTAGTTTTATTGTCTGATACCTGGGGTTTGCTTTTGTTCACTTTTTTCTTCTGACCTTCATTTTTCCAATGTTAGTGCATATATTGTCACAGCGCTTTTCTATTACTGTTGCTTAACTATTTTTTTTTAATATATCAGCTCACCCCGGCCTAGCATGTTAGCCCCAGATTCCTTCACTTAACTCTGGAAGTCTGTTTTAATTAGCCGATAACAAAAGTGCCCAAAGAACCACATAGTTTACCTCACAACCAGCTCCTCATCAGCCAGCCCAGTGGAACATGTTCACATTGCATCATCTGTGCTGTTATCTCCAAACCCAAGCGCTAAATTTGCAGCAGCAAGTTTACGGAGAGCAATACTGAATATCCACATCAGTGATAAAGTGAGAAGCATCAGTCTCCTCCCGAGAGAGAGCTGGCAGCTGCCCAGTATGGTACAGCTGAAGACTTTGACTTCAAACAACTGTATCAAGGCTTCTGGGTTTCCCTGCTAGCTCACTTGGTACTAGTGGAAGCACCCTGACCTGGCCTGGTCACGATTAACCCCCAGCAGTCTCTGAGGTGCTCCTCAAGCCCTGCATCAGCATTTGTCAGCGCTCTTAGAACTGCCAAAGCTCTTTTTCTGTCAAGGCATTCTGCCACTGCAGCCGGTGTGCTGTCAGCATCTGCCTTTGATGCAGATGTGGTTCTCTTCTGCCAAATGCAGGGATTTCTATGGTACCCGATCCAAGATCCAGTGTGCTGCCCTCCACCCATGTGGCCAACTTAGAGTAAGGACTAAATCCCCAAAAGGAGGTAGATGTGGATCAGTTTAACTTCTGTCTTAGATTTAATCCCAATTTCTGACTGCTGCAAATCAGGATAAATGATCAGGGCTTTGTATTCCTTCCAAAGTTACTCTTAACATTGATCATGAATTGATCTGGCCAGTCTTGTGCATTCACATGAATCCTCACAGGCTAAACTACAGGAAAATTAGTTTCTGATCTGCCTTTTCTGTACCATTTATTGGTTTATATACATTTTACTGCATCTGATTCAACTAATTTCCCAAACTTTTCAGTCTCTATTCATCTTACTTTTCAATGTCCTTAATCATTATTGTTGTTTTTTTCTGAAATAGTCTTTTTCACATGAGGTTATCAGTACTGGAAATGATGCTGACCTACTTGATTTGTGTAAATAGACACATTTAAGATTTGTTTCATTGAACAATCTGGAGTGATGAACAAGATGCCTTGCACAACTGCAAAGCCAGTTCAGGAATGGGATTTTGCTGCTCCAAGTGGTGAGGAGTCATGCCGATGCCTGACG